AGGAAGCCATGATTTTAAATTTATTGTACCGAAAGGACATAAAGATATTTTTAGATTTTCTTTTTTTCCCAGGACAATAACTGAATGGAACAAACTTCCAAAAGAAACTGTTTCCAGCCAATCCCTCCGTATTTTTAAAAGAAAACTAACTTAAATTTATTTTATCGGTAGTTTTAAATAGTTTTTAATAATTTTCAATAGTTTTTAATAGTGTTGTATATTTAGTATAGCTTCACTTATTATTATCTTAGAGTTGACGTGATGTCCTAAACGATTTTGCCGACATAACGATATTTAGATTTAGATTTAGATTTAGTGCTTTTCTTACTTCACTGATCTTACACTAGTAAAGAAACGGGTTTAACGTCGAGTTGAAATAAAGTGAGACAACTACTAATTCCCTAATTTCCCGTGATTGATATGGATATGTCTTACTATGGCTGTGCACAATTTTCACTACATCAAATGGTGAACAACTAATACTAACTGCATCCACACTGCACTGTACACTGCCTTTCTGTATCGCGCCATGTTGTGGTTGTTTTAATTCATCGGTTCGAACCGCCCGCTTGTCGACCAAGAACTCAAGAACTATTAAGCGTAACAGAAATTATTATGCGAGGGTACATCCTTCGATCCTCCTAGCAAATTACAGGAAGGATATTTCAACGAAAGTTTAGTTAAATACACTAAAAGTGTTGTTTGTAATACTGAAGGTATCTTTCCTCGCAGTACTGTGACGCATATTTAGCAGTTGGAGAGTTTTAAAATGCATTCTGGCACATGTGACGTTTTCATCTCCACGTGTTTTAATACTAGGTTTCGAACCTTCGTTAATTTTCCTGACACTATTAATCAAAAATGATTGAAACCAAAATGCACATTAGCATTTTCGTGAAGACTTTCTCTCAGATATAACTTCGGTTGAAAAATCTAGCTACTTATTCAGCAATAACAACGGAAAAAGTGCGACATTTCAATTCCTGATCATCTGTAAATGATTTCGCCAAAAGTTTCCATGGCGTGGTTCATTTTAAATCTAGCGGAAAGTCCATATCTCCATCTAACGGAATAGCTTACCTCTACCGCTTCTTACTCGTTGTTTTCAATACTAAAAGTATTGTTAACACGGAATACCGTGACACATTTTAACAGCTGGAGAGTTGAAAAATGCATACTGGCACATGTGACGTTTTCATTCCCTCGCGTTTCAAGACTAGGTTTCGAACCTTTGTCAGTTTTTCTGGCACTTTATAAATCACAAATGATTGAAACCAAAATGCACATGGGCATTTTCGTGAAGACTTCCTCTCAGACATATTATTAAATAAAAAAAAATAAATAAATATACGGCAGGTGATTGTGTTCTTGTTTTTGCAATTCTCTTGCGCGTTTAACCACACTCCTTTCATCACGCGTGTTACATCTTAATAAGAAAGTGAACAAAACATTTCGTAAGCAATTATTGATCGCAATCGGAAAAATAGATTTAAGTTCGTGATATTTTATGCAGAAGTGAGGCGGGAGTCTGTAGTGCGCCATGACTGCGTCTTAGCCTGAAGCTAAATTTAGGAATGAATTACTATCAAGAATCAAAAATACGGACATCTGTTATAGTATTCTTATTCTACTCCGTAAGAGGAAACTCCAACTTCTTAGGAAGAAAATCAATCATAGCTGAATTTTGAAAAAACGAGAGATTTTGAAAAGAACTCCACAATGCACCGATCAGTTCGAAGCTTTAACCCCCCTACCCCCGTGCAACGCACGGGCATTTGTCTGTCGTCCAACGGCTCTCCTTTGTACCACATATTTTTAAACATATCTTTCTTTTCTACATCATGCGTGCATATCTTTTGTTTTGTTTCTGTTTAATTATGTACTGTCGTATTTCTGATAAGTGCATTATGTTTCGATTCCCCGTATTCCATATGGAAATAAGCATAACAGAAACAGCTTGTGCCCTAAGCAAATGTCCTACGAGCTTTTGAAGAAACCCATGACTTTAAAAGTCAACTTTTAAAGTATTTCAAATGCGACTGCTACGGAAAAGGGATCTATCTCCGTGTGCAGCAAAGTGCTTGCCTGACTGTCTGCTTTACTGCTTTTCTTACTTCACTGATCTTACACCAGTAAAGAAACGGGTTTAACGTCGAGTTGAAATAAAGTGAGACAACTACTAATTCCCTAATTTCCCCATGATTGTAATGGATATGTCTTACTATAGCTGTGCACAGTTTTCACTACACCAAATGGTGCATAACAAACAACTAATACTAACTGCACGCACACTGCACTGTACACTGCCTTTCTGTATCGCGCCATGCTGAGGTTGCTTTAATTCATCGGTTCAAACCGCCCGCTTGTGGACCAAGAACTCAAGAACTATTAAGCGTAACAGAAATTATTATGCGAGCGTACATCCTTCGATCCTCCTAGCAAATCACAGGAAGGATATTTCAAAGAGAGTTTAGTTAAATACACTAAAGTTGTTGTTTTAAATACTGAAGGTATCTTTCCACGCAGTACTGTGACGCATATTTAGCAGTTGGAGAGTTTTAAAATGCATTCTGGCATATGTGACGTTTTCATCTCCACGTGTTTTAAGACTAAGTTTCGAACCTTCGTTCATTTTCCTGACACTTTATTAATCAAAAATGATTGAAACCAAAATGCATATTAACAGTTTCGTGAAGGCTTCCTCTCAGACATAACTTCTATTGAAAAATCTAACTACTCATTCAGCAATAACGAGAAGGCGCGACATTTCAATTCCTGATTATCTGTACATGAATTCGCCCAAAGTTTCCATGGCGTGGTTCATTTTGAATCTAGCAGAAAGTCCATATCTCATTCTAACGGAATAGCTTACCTCTACCGCTTTTCACTCGTTGTTTTCAATACTAAAAGTATTGTTTACACGGAATACCATGACACATTTTTAGCGGTTGGAGAGTTGTAAAATGCATACTGGCACATGTGACGTTTTCATTCCCTCGTGTTTCAAGATTAGGTTTCGAACCTTTGTCAGTTTTTCTGGCACTTTATAAATCACAAATGATTGAAAACAAAATGCACATTAGCATTTTAGTGAAGACTTCCTCAAATCAAAGTGTAAATATGGCAAACATAATTATTTTACGGTTTGTATCCGTCCTCGACCGCTTCGAACTGGACGATATTGCATTTTGGCTTGTTTTGTTTCGAAAATAACTGCTAAAATTGTCAATCTCAGTTAACCTGAGCAGCAGAAACGACTAATGTTGATCAAAGTTAACTTTTTACTCAGATTGGTAACGATATTTCGCTCCTGAAGTGGCCTGTTGTCTTTTCCACCTGCGCGTTGTTGATTTTTCACCTCCAATTGCGTGACAAGGAATGGCGCGTTTTGACCTCTGAGTCACTTTTGTTTGGGGTCCTAAAATTTCGTAGTTTGAGTAACCGAAAAATTTTGTTGGAGTTGCTAGAAGAAGAAGCCTTGTTCTTTCGCTGGACTAACTTTATATAACCCCATGTCATGTACCAAGGTGCGATTTTACCCTCTCAATTTTGCCATTTTTTTGTCCGCCAAAATGAGTGAAATATTGGAAAAAACCAAAAACTCCCCAAAAGTTTAGATTGCAACGGAATCGAGCAAAGAACACTTCAGACTGTTTATAAATACGTCTTCTATTCATTAGGAAAATATTTGGTCACATTTACTATTTTGTTTATTTTCGAGCGACCTTCAAATAATGGTTGTCTAAACATTTGATCAACATTAGTCGTTTCTGCTGCTCAGGTTAACTGAGATTGACAATTTTAGCAGTTATTTTCGAAACAAAACAAGCCAAAATGCAATATCGTCCAGTTCGAAGCGGTCGAGGACGGATACAAACCGTAAAATAATTATGTTTGCCATATTTACACTTTGATTTGAGGAAGTCTTCACGAAAATGCTAATGTGCATTTTGTTTTCAATCATTTGTGATTTATAAAGTGCCAGAAAAACTGACAAAGGTTCGAAACCTAATCTTGAAACACGAGGGAATGAAAACGTCACATGTGCCAGTATGCATTTTACAACTCTCCAACCGCTAAAAATGTGTCATGGTATTCCGTGTAAACAATACTTTTAGTATTGAAAACAACGAGTGAAAAGCGGTAGAGGTAAGCTATTCCGTTAGAATGAGATATGGACTTTCTGCTAGATTCAAAATGAACCACGCCATGGAAACTTTGGGCGAATTCATGTACAGATAATCAGGAATTGAAATGTCGCGCCTTCTCGTTATTGCTGAATGAGTAGTTAGATTTTTCAATAGAAGTTATGTCTGAGAGGAAGCCTTCACGAAACTGTTAATATGCATTTTGGTTTCAATCATTTTTGATTAATAAAGTGTCAGGAAAATGAACGAAGGTTCGAAACTTAGTCTTAAAACACGTGGAGATGAAAACGTCACATATGCCAGAATGCATTTTAAAACTCTCCAACTGCTAAATATGCGTCACAGTACTGCGTGGAAAGATACCTTCAGTATTAAAAACAACAACTTTAGTGTATTTAACTAAACTCTCTTTGAAATATCCTTCCTGTGATTTGCTAGGAGGATCGAAGGATGTACGCTCGCATAATAATTTCTGTTACGCTTAAT